GTCCCTGCATTTACTCTTCAAGAAGTTCAAAATAAATGGGTTTATGGGAAAATGAAAATGACTGACATCTAAAATGTGTTTTTTTTTGGTACATAGAGAAATATTCACTGTCAGACCATAATTGGTTGAATATAACAAATGCAGCAAATCCAATATGAAGTAATGTGAAATTCTGTAAGATGAACAAAGAGGTTCTAGTCAAATGAAAACCTCTTCAAGTTCAATGACTGCCCAGAGCAGGAGAGAGGTCAGGTCACCCTCTCCAGGAGGGGTGCCATCTGCATGGAACGTTGCCCTGCATTATGAGCATCTCATTCAAACCATGGGGTACAAAGGAGGGAATTCTAAATGAGAGCACAACTGCAGATGTTTGAGAGCCCTTGTACTTGAGCAAACTTTGACTCTACACGGGATTTCTCTGGGGCCTCATTGCTCTCTTTGTCATCAACAGCTCCTTCACTGATAAATTCACATACATATATTGCTTGATTCTTTATCCCTTAAAGAGCATGAGGAACTGGGTTGAGACTTGGGGAGATCGAAGGTCCCCTCTTGGGAGAATGACATCTTTAAAAGGATGGAGACTGTATTCAGATGGGGCAGTGTCTCAATCTCCGATGACTCTTATGAGATACTAACTCTGGCAATTCAGGCACCATCTTCCACACTTCAGAGCCTTGATTGCCTGTTCTTTAAATGGGGTAACAACATGTTTCTTACCTAGGTTTGGGTGGAAATCAAATAGGGTGATGTTTGCAAAGCACCTGGGGCACAGCCTAAGTCTTGCATACTCTACAAGTGCTTATTGCTCCTCCATATTCATTGTAACCTTTAAGGTATTGTATCATGCAGCCAATCATTGCTTAGACCTGTGGGTGGAAAGTGATTGTGTATTTGCCACCAGCTCTGTGCTCCTGGGTCAGACATCCTGGAGCCTCAGTTTCTTATTTATAAAGGATGAGGTTGGGGCTAGAGTTCTCTTTGCTTCTTAGAATTTTAGAAATCTTGAACTCCAAAAGCATAGCTTGCAGTTGTTTCTCACTTTCTACCTCCGAAGCTTTGCACATTTCTTTCTTGCCTGTTGTTCTTCTCCCACTTGATTGTAGCTAATTTGTCTTCTTTTTCTTTTTAAATGTTGAAATAAATTTCATATAAAAATAAATACAATTAATTTAATAAATAAATAATAAGTAAATAAAAGCAACTAGGGAATTGTTTTAGATTGTTTTTTTTTTTGGTTTTGTTTTAGATTTTTTTTCAAAGATTTTATTTATTTATTTGAGAGAGAGAGAGAGAGTGCAAGCAGGAGGAGGGGCAGAGGGACAAGCAGACCCCGCACTGAGTGAGGCATCCAATGTGGGGCTTGAACCGAGGACCCTGAAAGCATGACCTGAACTGAAACCAAGAGTCGGAAGCTTAACCTACTGAGCCACCCAGGCGCCCCTAGATTATTTTTAATTACAAAGGTAATGCATGTGCATTTTCACCTTGTATTAAATCTTAAAATTGTGGATAAATAGAGTCCCCCTTGATTCCCTACCTACATACTAGTTCACTGTCCCTCTGTTTTCAGAGGTAATGAGTACTGCTTTGGTGCCTTACCTGTCCAGATACTTATTTTATTTACACACCCACACACCCACACACACACACACACTTAAATGATTAAAATTAAAGAAAACATTGAAAATGTTCCTACTGTCATTCTGTACACATCATTCTATGACTTGCTTCTCCTTCACATATTTTGCAAAAATAGCCATGTTTCTACTACTTAATTTTAATTTTTTAATTACAGTATAATTAACATACAGTGTTATATTAGTTTCAGGTGTACAATAGAGTAATTCAGCAATTCTGTACATTACTCAGTGCTCATCACTATACATGTTCTCTTCATCCCCTTCACCCATTTCACCCACGCCCCCACCCACCTCCCCTCTGGTAATCTGTTGCTTAATTTTTAAATGTTTCTACAGTAGTTCACAAAATGACTATACCAAGGTTTATTTGGTGTTAATGCCTTTCGGAGAATATTTATGTGGATTCCAGTTTTTTATCACTTGAAGGAACACTGAAGCAGATACCATTTTTTCCAGCCTGTGTTTCCTCAGGGAAGATACTAAGTAATGGAATTTCTGAGTCATCAAGTATGCACTTAAAAAAAAAATGAAGATACAGTAAAACACTGCCATCCAGAAGCAGTGGCCCTGTTGCAGCCACTGATCTCCTGTGACCACCATATTGTCTCCCGGCTTTGTCAGTATTTTATATTTCTCATTTCTGAATATCTTGTCAATTTGATGGGTGAAAATAGTATATAATTGTTTCAATTTGGTTTCTGTGATGATTTGGGATATTAAACATCCTTTCATGTTTGTTGGGACTTTGAGTGTCTGTGGCAGGCCAGTTTGCATCTTCTGCCTGGTGTCACAATGAGTATTTTAGTGGATAATTTGTGGCAGCTCTTTGTGTGATCTGATTTTAATCCTTTGTGACATATGCGTCAGTATTTTTTCCATCTGTGTGTCTTATTTTTACTTGGAGTGTATTTGGTATCCATCTACTTAAAATTATGATGTAGTAAAAATGTTTCACCATTTTCTTCAGGTGATTTTTATGTTCTATTTTAGAAGACCAACCCTACAACACATCAGAACACTATTCTTTAGTGTTTTCATGTTACATGTTTATAGGTAGAATTTTTCTTTTTAGTTTAGTGGTGTGGGGTAGAATTTTAATATTACCTATTTTTTCAAAAGGTCATCCAAATATTGTAACACTTTTGTAGCGGTAATTAATCTTTACTTTTCTGATTGAAAGAAAACCTTTATTCATACTAAATTGATATCTATGCCTAGGTCTGCCTATGGTTTTTCTAGTTTTTTCTGTCTCCTATTCATCTCCCATCTATTCTAGTAACAACACCTTATTGGTGTAAGTATGATGGCTTTATTTATGTGTTGATATCCAGAATACTACATCCCTTTTCTTTGTTTTTCTTTTTTGAAATTGTCTTTGCTATCTTTGAATATTTTTCTCTTCCACGAATTAAAAAATCAGATTGTCTTATTAAAAATTATATTTTCATTTAATTTTTCCAATTGGTTGGAATTGCATTAAAATTGCCACACAGTGTGGTGGGTGTTCTTTAAATCAGTCTTAAACATCCAGGACCAAGTTTGTAGCCTGACCCAATCAGCTTTTAACCCATTGCAATGAGGGAGACCATACACCCTAGCAACCATGGATGTTTCGTTGAACAAAGAAAAATTAGAGTTATTAGAGGATCTTGAGAAGTGGGGCAGTTAGGTGAAATTTAAATCAAGAACAATTCTGATGAGCTCAAAACAAAGCAGGGCTGTGTAAAGGGCCAACATCACAACATCAGAATAGGTCTAAACCAAACAGGTAGCGCAGGGTCCTGTTTCCTGGAAAATTTCAAAGCTAAGAGAGTTGTAGAGAGTTGTATCCAGACATCCCTCATGTGGAGTTTTGTACCTGTATCCAGACAACCCTCACGTGGAGTTTTGTACCTGTGTTGGGAATTGAGACTGTTTTGCTCTGTCAGACTGACTTAGATATTCCAGACCAGAGTGGGATGTTTCATCTTGCTGATACAATTTCAAACAAAAATCTTAGATAGCTATAATTTTAGAAAATAAAGTTTCTGAGACTCTGGACTCTAGGAAACAAACTAAGGGTTACAGAAGGGAAGGGGTTGGGGGAGGGGGTAACAGGGTGATGGGTATTAAGGAGGCACGTGTTGTGATGAGCGCCGGGTGTTATATAAAACTAATGAATCATTGAACATGACATCAAAAACTAATGATATACTATATGTTGGCTAACTGAACATAATAATTAAAAAAAATAAAGTGTCTCATTGAGTAATAAAGCATTTATCACCACCCCCCAGTGTTGTTAGGACACTTTATAGCTGTAGCATATCTGTGAGAGAAATATTGTTTCCTGTCCACTTCACAGTTGGTTTATCTGTGTCTGTTATTCCAACCTGACGAATGGCCATGCGGATTCTCACTCTCCCTGTTAAAGCTAAGCTTTGCTTTCTCGGGAAGAAAGGAATCTTAATAAATACATAAAAAACCATGAAATGTATTTTCCACTGATTTAGGCATTTCTTCCCTTGCACAGTAAAGTTCTATAATTTGTATTTTTCTTCCTACGAATCTTGAACATTCCTTGTTAGGCTTATTTATAGCTATTTTATCAATTTGAGTCAACGAACGTAAGTTTTTCCATTATAATTCATAGATAATTATTATTGACTTTTTTATACTTATCTTCACTACTTTGTTGAACTGTGTAATTTTTTCTAAAAAAGTTATCTTATTGGTTGACTATTGTACAATTTTGCCTGCAAATAGTGACAGTATGTTCTTATCTCTGTTTTCTAGAATTTTTACACTGTCTTTCTTTTTTTATGGTTTAGTACTTCAGATGTGCTCTCCAGTATAACGTTAAATAGTACAAATGGTGAGAATATATAGTTTCTGGTTATAGTGTGAATGTTTCCAGTGCTTACCCTGCACACATATATTCTCTGGAAGTTTCAGGAAGATTTTTTTTATTGAGTTAAATGGTTCCTTTTTGTTTCCAGTTTGGGAAGTTTTTCTCTGTTTCTTTTCCTTTTCTTTTTTGAGAGCCACGTTTTATCAAATTCTTTAAAGAATTTTATTAAAATAATTATAATGTATTTTCTTTTAATATGTAAATGTGGTGAGTAATTTTATAGGTTTTCAAATGGTGACCCAATTCTTAGTTCTGATTTTCTCTTTAAAACATTTAAGCCATATTGCTCTTAAGAACTTCACTATATTTGATTTGCTAGCATTTAATTTAGTCTCTTTTTATATCGATGTTCCCAAATTGGACCTGTAGTTTCTTTTCTTGTGTGTTATGTTATGCTTTTAAATTATTTAAAGTTGTATGCATTATCTATTTTCTGCTTTTCTCACTCTAGAAGATCAACACAATCAATGGCTGATGGAAACTATACAAGAATCACAGAGTTTATTTTCATAGGCTCAAGGTATCATCCTCAGATGCAAGTCTTCTTTTTCTTGCTCTTTCTACTTTTTTACCTTGTTACCATGACAGGAAACTTGGGTATGATTATTCTCATCCAGATGGATTCCCGCCTTCACACTCCCATGTACTTTTTTCTCAGTCACCTGTCCTTTGTGGACATCTGCTTTTCGTCAGTAGTGGGTCCCAAGATGCTCAGTGACTTCTTTGCTGAAAGGAAGGCCATCTCCTTCTTGGGCTGTGCTTTGCAGCAATGGTTCTTTGGGTTCTTTGTGGCCATTGAGTGTCTTCTGCTGGCGTCCATGGCCTGTGACTGCTGTGTGGCCATCTGTAGCCCATTATTGTATTCCGTTACCATGTCGCAGAGCCTTTGCATACAGCCGGTGGTTGGACCCTATACTGTTGGGTTCCTGAGCACCATGACTCATACAACAGCTGCCTTCCGGCTTACCTTTTGCCGCTCCAACATTATCGATCATTTCTTCTGTGACATGTCCCCCCTTCTTTCTCTGGTATGTGCTGACACCCGGATCAATAAATTGTTGGTTTTTATTGTGGCTGGAGCCGTCCTGGTTGTCAGTAGCCTGACCCTTATAATCTCTTATTTTTACATCCTACTGCCATCCTGAGGATCCGCTCTGCAGATGGGAGGCGCAAGGCCCTTTCCACCTGCTCCTCCCATCTCACGACGGTGTCCATCTTATACGGGACTCTCTTCTTTATCTATGTAAGGCCAGGTGCATTTTTTTTCTCTGGACGTCAATGAAGTGCTGTCAGTGTTCCGCACCGCGGTGATCCCCACGTTGAATCCTCTCATCTACAGCTTGAGAAATAAAGAAGTGAAAGCTGCCATGCGCAGAACGATCGTCAGGAGGAAGTTCTGCATCAGAAGCTAAATTCCGGTCTGGAATACAAAATAAATAAAACGAAAAGCTTCTAGACATGGTTCGTCTACCTGGTCGTCATCTGAAGATGCTAAGCAATGTGCAGAATTTGGAGTATGGTATCCTCGCCAACTATTTTTTTAAAGCTCCATTTCAATCATGTGCGTGCGGATGATAAAAAGCCCGTCACCCAGAGTCAGAGCAGTTCTGCTTCCTCAAATAATTTCATTATTGGGTATAGGATAAAAATCTAATAAGTGTTGGGTCATCTGGCTACTGGCACTAGTTGGACCAATATACGTGTGCTGACCAGGTGAGATTCATTGCAATGACATATATGACCCCCATTCCTAAATACAGAATCGAAAATAGCCAACAGAGCAGCTCACTTAGGTACAAATGATTTTTTTTTAACTAAAGGAACTCCTCATATCATATTCGTCTAAATATCTTTTATGTGTATTTTCTTTATTCTTGCCTCTAAGAATACCATGTCACAATCACTGCAGAAAAAAGCAAATATAGACAAGCAAAAGGTGAACAATATGACGATACAAAACTCATATTCTTATTCTTCCACCAAGTGACAAGTGACGAGATATGCCTCTCTACATATTTGACTCTGAAGTTATTCCAACTATTACTTTAATATTTGATATTTAGTTTTTCTTATTTCTTTCAGACAAATAAATCAGCATTGCTTATTATAGAAGTTAGAAATAAAATGCTAATGGGTGAATGAGAGAACAAGAAAATTCTAAAAAATCAGAGGCAATAGGCGTTGAGAAGTCAGAGGTAAACTAAAATGCAGAAAATGTATATACTATTTTCATGTTAGTCATTTTAGTTGTTACAGATTAGAAAAAAAAGAAATACAATAGAATGAAGTTTAAAATGTATTTTAACACCTTTCTGTCCCTCATACAACAGTTGAACAATTCAAGAGGAATTATACATCAGAAAAGAGAAAATGAGTTTTGAAAAGTGTTTTTTGGTGCAAGCTTGTGTCTGCAGACATTTGAGTCCTGATCACTGAGTGTGATCTAAAAATAGAAAATTTATCTCTAGATTGTAGAAAGATATTGGGGGGGGGAAGCAGAGTGAAACATGCCTCAGGAACGATACAGGGAGGACTAAAGTATAAATGTATCTCAAGTCTGTGCCCTAAAAAAATTTCATGATGGAGTTCCTGGATAAACAAATCCTTTCTTTGGCAGTATTGATGGAATGAGGGTGTCCCAGCGATTCCTTCTTGGGATCATGAACCTGCTTTGAATATTGCAGTTATTTTAAGCATAGCACTTTGCAAGCACTGGCATAGAGTGGTTTGAGTTCAGAGGGAGTGAGCAGGTTGTGGAGGGAACTGAATACCAAGACAGTGAAGTGGTATATAGGGTAGGCATGATCATGGTTTCAATGAGGCAACTGTCTCAGACAGCAGGAATGAGTCATGGGCTAGGAAACTAGAGAGACAGAATTAGTGCCGATGGGATGCTCTGAAAAGGATTCAGATTTTAGCTCAGAAATGTCTTCCATTTAATTTACATCACTTATTTATTTTTGAAATAATTAGATGAAGGCTGGGATCAACATTTAGATGTGTGTGTTTGCAGTTAGTGGTGAAATAAGTGACTTCTTTTTCTCTCGCTGAAAGGAAAATTATCAGTGTTTTAGGCTGTGCCTTTATAGCACAGATCCTGCACTGAAGGAAGGTTCTTGCACATTCTCTTGTTTTGTGTGTGTGTGTGTGTGTGTGTGTGTGTGTGTGTGTTTATTGTTGTTGTTTTTTCCCCTCCCATTGAGTTTTCAGCAGTAGATTCTCCAATTTCTAAGTTTAATGCTACAGGGTACAAATACGAATCTGATCTGTTTTCTCTATGATTTTGGACTAGGAAAGTTATGCACCCCAAACCTTTTTCACCTGAGTTATGGGGATCCAGGTAGCTCTGTTCACCCTGGGGTCCAGAGAGTGTTTTGTGAGCCCCATGTGCCCTCTGGCATGAGTGATGGGACATGTAACACGTCTGAAGCCATTTGGGAGAAGGAAAGCCAAGTAACAGTAAGGGCAGGGAATTCATTCACCGTCATTCAGGGCCACTCTGTGTCTCAGCACAAATCGATCCAAATCACAACCAGCAGGTCCCTCCCATAATACCTGACTCTTGCAGCCTTGGGGGGCTGTGGTGTTGGACAAATAATTTGGGTCACGGCGTCTTTAGACTTTGTTCATCTCATAATGTTGGGAGACACCACCAGACAAGATACACCACATTTTATGTCTCACTCAAATAATGAAAGTTTTATAAATGATTTAAGAAAAAGTTTCCAGTCAAGAAAAGGGATGCAGAATTGATTTTAAGCCTCAGTGCCTCTAAAATATCTCTTGGTAAAGAACCCGACCTTCAGAACGGAGGGTGATATCAGGTGTTCTTCAGGTGCTTAAAAAGTCCCTGAAATCCACTGGGATCATCTGTGTAGACACTGTACTTTTGCCAAGGCTCTTGATAACTTATGGGTAGCTCATCTAAAGAATGAATCATTAGAACTCATATAGATGGATGTGAACCATTATCTGAACTCAGGGTGGTGGCTCAGGAACTGCAATCTCCTTGAATTTCACTTGAGCAATTCCAAGGCCAAGTATAATGGCGCTGAAGGCAAATCTCATGATGCTGTTGGAGAGCACACTCCTCTGTAACCTAACAAGAGTTCCCAGTGCATGTGACGAGAAGCTTTGTGCCCTCCAAGAGATTCCACAAACCATTTTCTCCATGGTTTGTACCACTTCTTTTCAATGATGAAGCAAAAATAATTTTTTAATTGAGGTATTTCAGTTTACTTAGGTTATCATATAATTTAATGTATAAATTGAATCAAAAAGTCTTTGAACTAATAAGAATATAAAATATATGCTTAAAGTTAAAATTTTTTTGTTGTTGTTGCCTAGGAAAAACAATAAAAACACATTTTGGGGGGCTTTAATTATTGTAGAGTATTTGGAAAGTGAAACAAAAGAAGATAAAATCTTAAAAAACACATGTTTTTGTAATATGATTTTGCCTATACAGATAATCTATGTGAAATCTTTGGCTTATATTCTTCCGGTAATTTTCTCTGTGTGTGTGTGTAATTTTACAAAATTTCATATTAAATATTATTTTAGCCAGTTTTAAACTAAATCACAAATCAAATATTTTTAAATAAACTATTTTCTATTAAATATTCTTCTCAAGAGGATTTTTAATTGCCAAAAGAATTCATAAAATTAACAATGACAATGAGTGATGATTCCTAATTTGTAGGCATTATCAAGTTCTGAGGATATAGCAGTGAATAAGACAGGCAAAGACCCCCCATGGAGCATATATTTGAGGGAGAGAGGCTTGTAAGTAAAGGTAAATCAGCTGGGCATCAGTACTAGTACTACAAATAATAGTATAATGGGATGGAGTAGATGTCAGGATGCACCATGCAGCTAATAAGTCGTGGGGATGGGGCTTCAACTCAGATCCCAGGCAGCAAAACTTATGCTTTTTAGCTATTATGCTAACACCATCACCTTAATAAGATCACCTAGGAAAAAGAATAGCTAAGAAAAGAAACCAATAGGTTCCATTTGTAGCTATAGCAAAAACTATTAAAGAAGTATCCCATCTTTCATTCTCCCCTTCTTTAATAGATGTCCCATTTTTAGCTGGGCACATTGAAACTACAATAAAAGACTGCAGTTTTCAATCTCCTTTGTAGGTGAGTGTTGACCTGTGACCAAGTCCCGGACAGATGAGTGGAAACTTTGTAAGGTGCTTCTACGACGTCTCCTTAGAATTTCAGGAAGTGCCTTTCTTCTCACCTGTATCCTTCCTATTACCTGGAATGCAGATTTAATGGCTGGACCTTGAGCACTCATCTGGCACCATGAGGAAGCATTTAGGTTTTTGATACTCTATATCAGCCATTATCAGCCCTATATTGACTACCTCCAGATTTGTTTTATGATAGAGAAAATTAATTTCTTTAAATAATTTTTTAAAGTTACTGTTATTTTGAGTTTCCTAACTTATATAACCAATCCTAATTCAAACTGATGTAAATCCCTCTTTTGAAGGCAGAGGATAGGAGCAGAACACCCACACTACACCTTGGTTGACTATTGGCTTGACTTTTAAGCTTTAAGTGAATTAAAGGAGAATAAACTTAGGAGAAGATAATTAAAAAAGCATGTAGTTGAGAAGAGCTTTCTGTTCATTTTCCCTCTCCCCATTTGACACCCTTTGAGAGAAACAAATGCCTGTATACCTTGTTCTATCGCACCTCACTTTCCTGTGCTTCGCGGATACTTGCTTTTTTACGAATTGAAGGTTTGGGGCAACCCCGAAGTGAGCAAGTCTATCAGCAATATTTTTCCAACAGCATTTGCTCGCTTTGAGTCTGCCTCTCACATTTTGGTCACTCTTGAAAATTTTAAACTTTTGCACTATCATTACATTTGCTCTAATGATCTGTGATTAGCTATCTTGATGTTACTACTGTAATTGTTTGGGGCACCACGAACCACGTCCATATACGATGGTGAAACTTGTCGTAGATGGGGGTGTTTTGAACGGGCTGGTGCCCCCGTCTCTCTCCCTTTAAGCCTCCCTATTTTCTGAGACATCATACTGAAATTAGACCAGTTAATGAGCCTGCAATGACCTCTCAGTGGTCAAGTGAAGAGTCAATGGATGTGGCCAACTTCACTGTTGTCTTACTTTAAGAAATTGACTGTTCTTACTTTAAGAACAGTCACCCAATGTTCAGCAGCCACTCTGATCAGTCAGCAGCCATCAACATGGAAGCAAGACCCTCCACCAGCAAAAAGATTACAACTTGCTGAAAGCTCAGATGATGGTTAGCATTTTTTTTTTAGCAATAACGTATTTTTAATTAAGGCATGTACCTTGTTCTTTTAGACATAATGCTATTGTACATAATAAACTACAGTATCATGTAACTATAACTTTTATATACACTGG